GCCAATCAGTATACTGCCTACACAAAGATCAAATACACTTGACCATAGTGTCAACTCATGTTCTACCTGCGGACATAGCAAATCACAGCCACTATCCAAGGAATAAGAAATGCATATAGATCAAATAGTTTAACCACCATCGAGCTTCGGTTGACCAACAAGTTTTAGGTGTAATTGTAAGGTACATTGCACACTCCAAGAGAGAAGCCAGGTACAAAACTTAGAGATGGTATTGTAAGGAGGGACGTTTCATGCAACAAACACAAAGCCTACCTTGATTGTACAAGAAAAAAATCTAGCTCCGGCTGAGATTTTTTGGCCATGAGAAAACGATATATTGCCATCATTATTGCAAAATCACTAGCAATGCAAGAAAATCTATACTGCCAAATGGGTCAAGCTATAAAGAGAGACTCACAATTCAATAATGGGATACAGATTTTCACACAGAAAGCCTCTCAAGAAAATTTAGTGAGACAGCAACCCAGACATGAAGTGACAAAGGATAATGTCAAAATGGCCAGCTCCAATTACCACCATTAGCATACTTACAACATGCAATCACAACCCAACGAACAAAAACCTCCACTATCAAACTAAGAGCCAAGAATGGCAACCAAACCACAAGGAGACAATTCCAAAACAAAACAATATAAACATTAAACACTTGAAAAGCAGATATTTGATATATACGAAATGTTTAAACCAAAAAGACTCTACAAATATGGCTACCATTTCAATATCAAAAACAAAAATCATGTGATCAAATCCAGACAATCATAATCTTCACTATCATAAATACCATCAACAAAATAAAGTACCTGAATAGAATTCGTTTCAGATCATTCCCACCCTCGGGCAATGAAAGGAAAGTGATTAAAACACCGGGCTCCACTAGAGCAACCCATTCCTTACGCTCATCTTCCTCTATAAACACTACTGATTCTGCACGGCCACTACCTGATGTCGGGGTACCTTCTGCACTGGAAAGTCCTTTTAGTCTCGATTCCATCTCTTTGCCCCAAATTCGAGGAGTAGAGTTCCCCGTTCTTCGGTAAGGGCAATGGAAATGTGCCGAGTCAGAGGCAGCATCACAGTCAGCATAGTTCCTGTTATGGTTTGATGAACCAGAACAAGGCTTGCAGTTTTTATAAGCTCCTAATGCTTTCAATGCAATTTCCTTGATCTGAAAATTATATAAAAAGAAAAGTCCTCTATCACTTGAAGCCTTTGGTGGGGATAGAAAAGGTAGAAAGCAAAACAAATTCAGGGATTTTGTTATTTTCCCATTTTCTTCTGAAAATTGAAAACTGAGAAGGAAAAACAAACTCGATAAAGATATAAGAAACATGATGATCCAGGATTTCGATGTTTGGTGGCTAATGAAATGAAGGAAGCAATAAGAGAGAAGAAAAGAGGATTCTCAGATTATTTTCCAATGAAAAACAACATTAAACCCGTCAAAGTCGAATTATTCCTAATCGACTTTTTCCGCATTTTCTCAGGAAACAAACACAAAAAACATGTAAGCAAATTTCTACATATTTATAGATGTATAGAGTGAGTAAAAAAGTACCTGGGAAGTGAGAGCTTTAACGGCTTGCCTAGTCCTAGGAGTTTCCAAAGTATCTTCATCCTGTTGACGACCAACAGATCCATTGTTGTTGTTTATCTGCTTTGAACAAGCTATACACGTTAACATCTTCCCTTCCCACACTCTCCTCCCCCAAATAACAAAAACCGAGATCAGATTCCAGAACCAAATGTCGTAGAAAAATATAAAACGGGTATGTCAACGAAAAAGGAAGCTTGTTTAAGGGAAATGCTTGTAGGCTAAATAAAGGCTTTCTTTAGAATAATATTTAAGCTTCAAAAGGAATGGGTTGGCTGTTGGATTTTTCATAGTGTGAATGAAATAGTTAAAGGAAAGAGAAGAATCAGAGAAATCCCAGGCAGGTTTATATATATAATAATACCAATGATGATGAGTTTGTATTTTTCATTTTCTTCCGCCTCTGCCTCTGCCTCTGCCTCTGTCTCTGCTAGGGTGTTCATTCGGTTAATTTGGTGATCGAACCATCGAACTATTATTTTTAAATTAATCGAATTTTTTTTAATCGTTAATTGAATTGAATTTTTTTTGAAAATATTAATCGAACCGAATAAATTTCGGTTAATTCGGTTAATTTTCGAATTAACCGAAATTTTTAAAAATTTTATAATTTAATATTTTTTTAATTAAAAAAATAATTTACAATTAATTTAAATAATATCTAATTATAAATAATATCTAATTAATTTGATTCAAACATTTTATATTTAGTTTTGATATTATTTTAATTAATTAATATTGATTTGGGTTTTAAATGGATTTTAAATAGATTGGGCCTCTTAATATAATTATATTTAAATGTTAATTCGATTAATTAACCGATTTCGAACCGAATTAACCGTTAACCAAATTCTAAAAAAATCCTTAACCGTTCCCCGACCGAATTAATCGAACTAATTCGATTCGATCGATTAATTCGATTAAAACCAAATTTTAAACACCCCTATCTGCCTCCGCCTCCGCAGTGGTGGATCTTTTTCTTATGAAGAAAACTTTTGAGATTTGGGCTAATTCAACAATCGGTTCGGTAGCCCTTCTTATTTTGTTATTTTTTTCAGACTTAATACCCAAAAAAATATAAGAATAATTTCATTAATTTTTTGGTACTATCGATGATTTTGATCATCAATTTAAAAATTAAAAATATATAATCTCTAACAATATCAATTCTATTATCTGAGTCTCTGCGCCTTTAATATCCATTAACTCATTAACAAAATCTTATGTGGCATTTAAAAAAAATCACATTATTTCTTCTTCTTAATTTCAACAAGTGGTGCCGTAGCCCTTCTAATTTTGTTATATTTTAGACTTAATATCAAAAATAAAAAGGATAAATTATGGAAATAGTTTAAAAAATTAAAAAATACTCATAGCCAATGGTCGGTCATTAGGGTGGACACCGATGACCGAAAATGAGATTAAAATTAGAGATTTTAGGATTTTGAGAGTGTTTTTTTTTTTCAATTTTAAAAAAAATTGGGATTTTTATTGTTTTAAAGATTTTTTTTTTGTAATTTTAAGTTTTTTATAAAAAATAAAAAATATATATAAATACAACTCATGCCACTTAACTGATTCTTTTAACGGTTGTTACAGTAAAGACATTTAAAATGATGACGTTTGTAATGTTAGACACTTACATTGATCGAAAAAATTTAAACACCTAAATGAAAAAGGATGTATAATTGAGATATTTATTTTTATACTAAATCTTTTTCTTATAACAATGTAACTGAATCGGCTATTCAAACAATATTTTCAAATTTTCAAAAAAAAAATTCCAAATATATGGGAATGAAAATAGGAAATTTTATCGTATTTCCAAGTGTAGATCAAAATTAACATAATTACAAGATTTTTCTCATAGGAACTAGATATAGCTTAATTACAATCACAATTCAAATTATTTTAATGTAAATTACTAAATAAGGTAACGTTTATTTAATGAATAAGATTTAATTGCAGCACTTCTGGTTCAAATTTGAATTGGATAATAAATATAGACGTTATTGTTATTTCATCGACTGCCTACAATTCTTTGTACTATTCCCATTTCAAAATTATCAGCATTATTTAAATCATAGCTGCGAGCGAAAATAATTAAGTCATAAAATAAACTAAGTCCCTCCGCATTAGCTTTCTGAACGAGTCATCAACATCTTCCAAAGGTTCGACCCTTTCCTCTTCAAACTGCTTAGGAAGCTGTTCAGCAATTTTCCGTTTATTTAATGGTAGGATGTGTGGGTAAAATTAAGTTTTATTATACCGTAAGTACGTGAAATTAATTATGTTTGATTACTGTTTAGAATATTTTTGTTGTATTAAAAGTTTGTTTCAGACAATTATTACTTTCTTTATTAGAAAGCGTCGGAAGTGGTTGATTGGAGGAATTAATTTTCTTAAATGGTTGACAATATATATTTTTAAAATTATTCTAATTAAATATTAGAAAATGGTTCGCCTTAGATTCACTAATTGGTTTAATGATTAAAGATATTATATTATTTTATTTTACATAAGTTTAAACTCGGATATTTATTTGAAAAAATTATAAATTTAAGATTTCTACTTAACATAAAATCTTGCATCCGTCTCCGATTATAGGACAGGTTGAGTCGATTTTCGACCTACTCGAACCTGATCTAAAAATTAAATTTTTTCATTTGCATTTGATCCGACTCAATATTTAGGAGGATCCAATTGGCCCGAAACTCGACCCAATTTTTTAGGTCAAAATCTATATCTAACCCTACCTCTATATATATATATATATATATATAATTTATTTTTATTAAGTAAAATAAAGACTTAATTGAAAAAATAAAATAAAAAATATTATTATAATTATCTTTAAATATACAAAAGATAATTATAATATTATGTTAGCTTTTTTTTTGTACATAAAAGCTTAGGTTAGGGGTAGCTCTCCAATTCAGGGTCAGGACATATCTAAGACTCAATTGAAATTTACATAGGAATTTACAGATTGTCCACCAAGAGTGACGATAATAAAATTCAAACTTAACCTTACGTACTCAAATTCTTGAATCCTAACTACTTGTGCCAATACTCGTTGGCTAATATAAAAAATCAATTTAATCAAATAAACTTAAATCAGAATCCGTCTACTCTGAGATAAAATATCCATCCCAATATATATGAGATTTAAACAATCATAATTTTCCTTTTCCATCTAGAAGTAATAGAGTATATGTTAGTTTCCATACTCATCAAAGTGTAATCAATGTCACAAAAACAAAACATAAGTTCTTGAATAAGCAACTAAATTTTGCCTGTAATTTATATACGTAAAGCTTATGTGAAGTGAAGCATTGTCTGAATTTTTTTCTTTTACTAAATGGAACAAAAAGAAAAAGGCAGCAAATTTCATCAATTTTCCTTGTCTCCTGCCTCCCATTTGTCTTCCATACGTGGAAAAATAAAATCCATGATATTGCTGCGTCTGCTGCTGCCTGAATTAAACATTGCATCAGCCATATCCGCCACTACTGGGTAGTCGACGACATCGCTTCCATATCGACTGCCTGTGGTGGCTCCCCCACCAGAAGCCGCTGCTGATGCACCTGCATCGCCACCACGTCTTCCATCAGAACTCGAACCCAAACCCGAACCTAGACTAAATTCCATTGAAAGCCATGTCCCTGAAGGAGTTACTGATGGTGGAGGTAGTGTAGGCTGAGAAACCATAGCTTGGGTCCTAACCATCTGATCTGGTGGCGCAATGGAGGGGGCAGTGGAGGACATGTGGCACGTGTGCTGACCAATGTAGGTTACTTCAAATGTGTTAAAGTCATTGTCTAGACGCTGCACTTGCTTCTTCGCAGGGCAGTTATACATCTTTTGGTGTGTGCACTTGTAGTATGCCCTGAAAACCAACCCCACATGTTTATCATTTTCCTACTTCCTCTTTTCTTACTTTTATTTAATATTAGGTCACCATCAACTTAGTTACATACATGCATGATCATCATCATCATCATCTCTATACATGCATGCATATATGCCTTACTGAATTATATACGCATCAATAATTGATTACCTAGGGTACCTTGAACCCAAAATTTCTTTCTGTCCATATTTTCTCCAAGTGTAGTTGTCCTCCGGAGGAACGTCGGTGTTTCCAATCTGAGGCGCCGGTTCTCTCATTGTGCGTTTCTCTTCACCATCCTTCCTGCTGCTGCTGCTGCATTATAGGTTATTAATAACAAAATCAATGCTATACACATACATTATACACACATATATATAATATGGGAAAGTTTCTAACCTTGTATGGGAACGTTGAGACGAGGATGAAAAACCTTTACCGGAATCTGACACATCCATGGCCTGGATTTTTCCCATTGCGTGTGCAATGACACCATACTTTAGCCATTCCTGCAAACTGGGATCAGGGCCAGGCTGCATCTGCTGCAAAGGAAGAGGTTGATGATGGGCATTGTTTAACCTTTCTTTGGAAGTGGCGAAGATGTTTATGATATCATCACAGGCCTTGGAAAGGGTTTGGGGCTGGTTGGCCAAATCCCCGAGCATTGCTTCAAGGTCGTCAGCAAATTTGCAGCCATGGAGGATTAGGGACAAGGCGTGTTGTGGATCCATGGGTTTGGAATTGGGTTTGAACATGATTTAAGGAGAAAAATAAACTTGTAAAACGGGTGCGGCGTGTTTCTAAGCTGCTAATTTTTCAAAGTATTTAACGTTCATTCTACACGGTATAATTAAAAAAGAAAGGAGTTGGAGAAAAGGACCAAGTCTGCATCTGCTTTGATTTGCCTCGTTGAAACCTCCTTTAAGACCCAGAAGAAGAATTTTCTGCGCTTTGACCGTAATTTGGATCTTGACTTTGAATCGGAAACCAAAGAATTTTTCTTCTTCTGGATTTCATGGATGCGAGACCGCAGCACGTTCTTGTTTGCAATTTCCTTTTCTGTTTTTTACTTGGGTTGAATCCTTTACCCGCTACATCATGGCTCATGACCCATTCGGTCAACAGCTTCGTTCAGAACACAAATCATTGGCATATGTCAATAATACCCTTTCTTTTTTTTTATATATCAAAATGGCCTTCAAATAATATTACCGACCCAAATAACATCATTTTTGGTAAAGACACGTTTATATGGAAGTTTCTTTCGAGAGGTGTTTTGGAGGGTGTACCTTTCCTTATATGACAGATTTGTCTCATGTGAGGCCAAAATGAATGAAATAAAGAACAGTAGGCCCAAAACATAAAAAAATTGTATGAATTTTATTAAAAATAAACAATACATGCAATACTTGAAAAATATAAGTTGTTTTTGAGCTATCAAAGATAACTCTTAAACTTGATCTGATTCGTATCAATATGACAATTAAAGATAATTATTTTCTTAAAAAATATTTGTGATCCTAGTATCTAAAATTATCTTTGACTTTCGTAATGATATGAGTTTGATCAAATTTAAAAATTGTCTTTTATAGCTCAAAAAAATAAATTTTTGTCATGATATTCTCAAATCTCACCTTGTCTATATATAAAATTTTTAAAGTATTTAAATATACTCTTCTAAAAATGCACTTACTGACTAAATATAAAGCCTATATATGCACGTTGTTATTTGGCTCATGATTCTGTTCAACTAGACAATGGTAAAGGGACGACACTCTTACCGCTGAGATATTTTAGTCCTTAAGAAAAAAAGGCATTTTTTGTGCCGTAGGTATTGAAAAAGATGTAGGTAAGATAAATATTGCTAGTATTTATTTAAATAATAGTTCTTCCATTAGAATATAGGGAGCCCGATTAAAGCTAAGTTATCTTATGCATGGCGGATCAATTTATGAATATGTGCGTCATTCATTGAGCTTATGTTACAAGCCTCGAACATGAGAGCAGACTGATCTATTATGTTCGAAGTTGTCAACAAATTTGGTCTCACAATAAAGGGGTCGATCAAGTGAATCAAAACGTGAAGAAGTTCCAATTGTCAGAGAAATAATCCAACTGAAGATTGGTGAATGGTAAGGTGAAGAATATTTAAAAATAATTAATCCGGATGAATTTAAGTTGGTCATCGATTTAAGCTTCCTCTGCAGCATTAATGCTCTTATTATCCCTTACACCGACTGTGTTTTTATCTTAGATCCTAGCAAATAATGTGTTGTGTTAGTTCATCGAGAAACGAAGAAAGGGACCGACACACTAATTGTCATCCACCTTACCAAGGATGTTCTAAGGAAGACAAGCGAAACTACATGGCAACGTAGGCCAAGGTAAGTAAACGGAAGGAGTTAGAAGCAAGTCAAGTCCCCAAAGGAGATCCGTTATCACTCGGTCCAAATTAATTCCGAAGAAAAAATGAGGATGTCGCTAAGTTTAGTGGGAGATAATGATTAAAAATTCTAGACATAATTTTATTAACATTCATTCATGAAAAAAAAATATTTTGTTTTATGTCATACTTCAAAATTATAATTATTATATTTATTTTAATGATTTAGTTATTAATATAGTAACTAGGATTAAAATTACAGCGACAATTATAACTATGATTGATGATATAACCATCTTTCATGAATTATTGTAATTATGATTTATATATTTATTTCAGCATCATGTATTTATTTTCTATACCACCATATTACTAAAAAATACAAAATTTAATAAGAAAAGTCTAGGCTATGAAGAGAAGAATCTGGTGAAGAAATTTACAGAGTTGGAGTTTTGCAAGCATGCAACATGAACATATCTTCCCAACTTGTCAACTTGCCTTGCTTCACCTCTTGTATCTTTCTTGCACACCTTGCATGTTTTGTCCACCCATCCTTCTTCCACATATTTTCCATCCACTGCACATTTCCATTCCGTACATATATATTATTCAACATATTACCAAAATTTTAATCAACTTATATCTAAATTCCATACATATACATGCATACCATCAACATAGGATTTGAAGAAATCCATGTATGTCCCTCCAATCTTCCTTCTCAGTGCACCATACTGCATGCATCCAACTACGTAATTTTTTGATAGATTTTGATCCATCAAGAGGAAAAAAAGGATGAAAGAAAGTGCTACATGTTCCCTTGACATTCTGCCACCGGACCTGGTGGCTTCTCTAGCCTCATCCAGAAGCTCGGCATCCTTTACGGACCGAACTTGAGAGAAATCCAGAGCCTCCGTCACGCTGCTAAACAACGATTGTTTGCTTTTCTTCTTTGCCTCTTCTTTCTCACCCTTCTCTTGTTGTTTAGCTGAAACTCTAATCGATGTCGGCGAACTCTTGCAGCTTCTTAACCTCATTTGACTGCAAAAATGTTGTTTAGGGATGATGTTTTGTGAAGGTGACAGTGGAAGAGCCCTTTGTCCCATGGTTGCTTAGTTTATGGCAGAGAAGTCGGAACCAACAGCCAAGCAAGCTAGCCTTTTATATTTATTGACCTGGTGAATTTGGTGGCTAGAGGTTCAATACGTGGCCCTTTCACAAACTATTAAAATTGTGAGGATTTGAGTCAACAAACCAGAAATATCTTAACAAAAATTCCATGGCCAACAACAAGTGGGGAATATAGATTAATCAAACACCACGTGTTAAAGGGAACTTGCATGGTGTTCAGTGTCTGAAATACAAACTTCTCTATGACATTAGACGTATGAACTTTAGCCTAGTGAACCAGGTTGCTGTCGAGAATCCGCCAACCGTGACAAAAGCAAGTAAATCCTTGAACCAGTAATGAAATTCTTTACAGGCCAGCTACAGCATACAAAGCTACAAAAACTAATTACATCAGAGGCTTACACCACATAAACCATGCCAACCTCTAGTAAAGACACCGGTGGAACCTTGAGTGCCACATCTGGTCCACGGCAATTCCTTCTCAAGAAATTGTACCCGAAATTGATGGCCAGTCTCTTCAGAACAGATGATCCTTGCTTTGCTCGAACATGTGAATGTCCTAGTATGAATGCGGTCCCGGCTTCTTGGGCTTCTAACAGATCTTGTAGCTCTTCACGCAACTGCAATTCCATCTCGGTCCTCACATCAGATTCGGAGTCGTCGTCAATGGCAAATCTAACTCTTCTTTCAACAGCAAGCACAGGTTCCAATTCTATGACATCTGTGACACTCTCTACTGTTGAGAATCCAATAGATACACTTGCTGGTTGCACGCTTTGCTCGATCTCGTAAGCTGGTGTGCCAGGAAATGCAACCGTCCCTATCACGGCTAATCTACATTCACTTGTTGATTCGTTTGAGTGGGAGACAATATCATCCTCAGCAAAGGGGCCATGCTGGCTTCGATGCCAATCATAGTGAATGAAATCAGCCAGTTTGGAAACTAGTTCTGATTCAAAAGAATCAACATCCTGATGCACATCTCGGTAACCATAACGAACAATGCACCTATAAGACCGATGAGCAGCAGGACCCACACGGCCAACGAGATAACGCTCAGCTGGGGGCACAAAAGGTACAGGTACTGATTTTACACAAACAAAGACAAGAACACGATGGAAGGCAGGAAGGTTTGTGACAAAACGAGAGAAGTTGGCGGGGATTCCAAAGGTGAGATCAGTAAAAACTAAGCCGATACCTGGCACTCGAGCAATTCCTAAGCTTGGACCCAATGCTAATAGCCATTCTAGTGATACCTTATTGTGGAGATCAAATTCATATTTTTTCATGGTGGCATAATGCCATACAAACATGATTGTCATGAGGAAAAGTGCCAAGAGAATAGGGAGCCAAGCCCCTTCAGTGAACTTGGTGAGTGAAGCTGAGAAGTAAAGCAACTCTATAGAACCAAAGAAAAGAAGAAACAAAAGAGCTACAATTGCGGGCTTGTGCCAACAGAGGATAATAACCAGGGAAGTGAGGCATGTCGTCACCAACATCACGGTCATCACTGCCAATCCTGAAACAAATAAGAACAAAATTTTAATGCATCAAGCTTTCGGATTATTCTAAAGCATAAACGTCCTCCTTAAAATTATTTCCAGTAATCCAGTTGAAGTTCACTTACAAGGTAATCGACCTTACCTGATGCATTCCCCATGTGTTTTGTATCTCTAAATCCAATAGTCACAGCAATACAGAGGATCATGAGCACCCAATTGATTTCAGGGATATAAATCTGGCCATGTATCTTGTCAGAGGTGTGAATAACCTTCACTCTAGGGAAACAACTAAGTGATTGACTCTGATTGATTATTGAGAATGTTCCACTAATGATCGCTTGGCTTCCCACAACAGACGCAAGAATCGCTATTATGAGCACAGGCCATCTCACACTTTCTGTACATTACACAAAAACAAATGAGCAATCAAGTTCGTTTGCATTCCCTTTCAGAAGTCATCTTCCAACCATTTTTTATTGGTATTGTGAACAGATGAGGTTTACCTGGAACCGAGACATAGAAGCTGATTTGGTAACTCGTATGATGATGTTGAGACAAGTACGCAGCTTGGCCCATGTATGCCAGTATAAGAGCTGGAAAAACCAGAAAGGTAAAAGCAGTCTGCAGAAAGAGAAAGTTAAATTTCATTTTAGTAGCTAGTTTTGAACTCACATGAATAGATATCATTATCAAGTGAAAACTCAGAAGAGAATTTATGTTAGTTGCCTGAATTGCAGAATAAGAAAAGTGACCAAGATCAGCAAACATCGCCTCGGAGCCTGCATGGATGGATTTGTTGGTTTGTCAGTTTTCACAATTAACTAAACTTACGGTAGTGGTACTAGTTATCCGTATACATAAAGTTTTGGAGAGACTTTCTGATGGTCTACCAATAATTTAGCTTGAAGTCGAAATAAACGGAGAGAATAGCGATTTCCCGTTATCTGAAGTACTGCGGCTAGTATTTTGGAGCTTGAAATTTAAATCATGCCAAATGTTCTGCTCAAAATGATAGGAATCCTTCCTTTGGCATGAAGTGAGTAAAACTTTTGATATACAATCAGCCAGATCAAATTACCAAGACTGTGGATTTTCATTAGCAGGTCAACTCTATGATAATAGTTGAGAGGTTACACCACTTTTCCAAAATACTAGATCCACTAACATCAGATAATGAAATAACCTTAAGCACGGGCAAAAGTTAACTTATGCGCCAGACATGGATTATTTCGAGTAAATAGATTATATTGAACCTAAAAGCTATGAAGCGGACAAAAGACACAATGCAACATGAAAATTTATCACATGTATGCATGTTCCAAACTCACCTGTTATGCAGAGCAGTATGCCTCCCAAAGACATCCATCCACCTTTCCTAGTCTTCTTCAAGAACTTGAACATGTAATATGGAGACAGAGCTTGATAGACATGCGGGTTCCAGTGGATTATATTGTATAACCCAAGAGAACTTATGCATAGCAGCCATGTTAAAACAATCGGAGCAAAGAAAAATCCAACACGATGTGTGCCATAGTGTTGAAGTGCAAAAAGACACACCAAAATGAAGCAAGTGATTGGAATAACTGCATCTGTAAATGAGGCCAAGAATTTCAGATGAAGGGATAGTAAATTAGAGTAAAGATAAGAATATCACTCCATTAGCCTAATATGCCGAAGTCTAAGCACCATTTAGCCTAATACCTTTCTCCACATCAAGGAACATGAATATCACTCTGAATGCAAATCGAAAGCATTTAATAATAATTAGGAAACTAAACCCTGCTTTTACATTCTTGCTTTACAAAATACTCCCAAAGTGTTTTTCAGTTAATAGGAAGAAGGTTTGGCTCAAACATAATATCAGAGACTTCAACGCGACCGAATAAGAGAAGAAAACCTAACATAGCAAGTACAGGAGCTTACACTGGTGATGTTCCTTGGACATGGATAACTCAAGGCCAGACACAGCAGAGAAAACTACAATATAAGCACATATTAATTAGCGGGTGACCAAGAAAACTCGGTCGCAAATTTAAGCAACTGACTGTATAGAGGTTTACCAGAAATTGCTGGAGTGAGAACTCCATCTCCAATTACCATACAAGTACCAAGGAGAACCAAGATTAATAAAGCGGTGTGCAAGAGTTTATGCTTCTCAAGGTACAGTTTTACTCCAGAGCTACTCCTTTTCTCGGGATGGTGCTCGAGTTTATATGTAGAGAGCGCTTCATCAGCGACCTGCCTGTTGGGCAGAAGACTAACTTTGTTATGGCGGCATATCAGAGAATATAATGCAAACGTACCTCCTGCAAAAATCAAAACCATGAATAAAAACGCTACGATTGAATGGCTAAACGATATGGATGACAAAACATTTAAATGCTTACCCTCTCCATTGTCATCTGCTCGAAGAACCACAAACACATACTTGAATAAGGGGACTAAAGTAAGAGTCCAAAAGACAAAGGATAGAACACCATAAATCTCTTCATTTGTCTCTGAATGTTGAATGTCTTCAGCAAATGTGCTCTTGTAGACATAAAGAGGAGAAGTACTGAGGTCCCCATACACTACACCAAGGCTTTGGTATGCTAAAAGCAAGGCGGTCTTCCAAGAATCCTTCTGCAACAAAATCCCAGAATAAGCAACTCTCCTAGAACTCTAATTACCTGAAAACCATACCATGTAAATCTTTTTACCATGGAACCTAAATCTACCTGTTCCTAGAAACCAAAATCTTAATGATTAATAAGATTTGAAAATTAAACAAACCTTTGAAGTATCAGAGGACTTCCCCAACTCAAGATCCATGATAATTATGCCTCAATCTTCAGCCTGAGTTTCTTGCAAGTGAACAGAATTAGCTGCAGTTCAAAGCTGATATGATTAGCCAAACTAGAGTGGAACAATCCAACACCATGAATTTGAAAGAAAGAAAGAATGAAAAAATAAAGTGAAGCAATGAAGTTCGAAGATGAAATTTCCAATGATATCAAGGAATCTCTCTACTTTACACACCCGCAAATAGAGGAGATAAAAAGCATGTCACATTCGCTCGCATGGCTTCTATATCTCATCTATAAAATCCCCCACCAAACTCATTGATAACTATGAAAAATTTATGATTAAAATCTCACAGAAAAGAAAGATAACATGGAGCCAAGTAACACTCTAGATTCCAATTACTAGAAAACGTATGGAAACTTAAAATGTATTGAAGCTCAACTACACTATAATTCTTCTAGACAGATCCTTAAATGCACAAGGTCCCTCATTTATTTCCTTCCCATTTCTTGCATATAAAATTAGTATTTTTCTTTTCTTTTCTGGTTAACGCAAAGTAAAAGAAATGTTTCTTAGTTTTAATAAATAAATAAATAACCCAAACTTTGAACTCTGACAACACCATTAACCCCATAAAGGACAATGAAGTAGAAGATTAAAGAAAGAGAGGAAAACAAATAGAACTGTGACATAAAAACATACA